TCTCCCTCTCCCACTCCCCCTGCTTGTGTTCCCTCTCTTGCTGTGTCTCTCTGTCAAATAAATAAATAAAATCTTTAAAAAAAAAAAAAAAAAGAGGTCAGGAGCCAGAGATGGGGCACAGACTCACCAGCAGCAAGGCAGGAATTCAGGTGGACTGAAGAGGAAAAGGACAAATTAGAACCAGGGCCTGTGACTACCAGTGACAGACACAGGCAGAAATGAAGACACATGGGAGGATGAGGGACCTGTGGCGGCCGCACACAGCAATATGGGGCACCAGAAAGCCACACCTGGCTCAACAGTCCTGGGGCTGCTCTCCACTTCAGTGGGGAAGGAGGCCTCGATCATTCGTCCATTCAAAGGCTGCGTGGCTCGGAAGTTCAGCTGTAGCCGAGAGTCATCAGGTCCCCACAGGGAGCCAGAGAGGGTGTGGAGCTAGGGAGGTCAGGAGACAGTGGGGGTGGGCTCATGACAAGAAAATGAAAGGGTCACAGGCCTACTCACAGCCAGCACCTCAGGGCTTCACCCGCTATGTCCTCTGCTTCCCCCATTTTGCTGCTTCATCTCTTTATCCACCCTGATCTCATCCTTACACCCCTTTCCCCCACATCCCCTATGCCACCATCATGCCCAGCCCCACCTGCTTAGCGCTCAGCCTCACTGTCTGGTTGAACACAGTCCAGATGACCCCCTGGGCACAGGGGGGTGTGGTTAGAGACCCCTCGTAGCGGAAGTAGCGGCTGAGGTCAGCAGGCAGCAGTGCAGATACGTCCAGTCCTGGGACCCAAGTCTCTGAGTCTGTAGAGAGGACCTGTGCTGGAAACCCCCCTGGATTGCTTCCCTCCAAAGCTCTGGGGTACAGGGATAAGTTTCACCTCCCAGAAGCCAAGCTGGTGCAACTTCCTGAGACCACTTCTTCACTAAGTGTGTCCCTTCCCATAACTCAGCACAAGACCTAACTCAGAAGAAGGTAAAGGGCTGTGGTGCCTCACAGAGTGAAAGAAGTGCTCCCAAGGTCCTCCCTCTGAGTCTTAGCTCTTACTTTGCATTCTGTGATAACATGCTGGACTACAGATTTAAACCCAAAATGAATCAAAAGGGAAAATGAGCTGAATAACTTGTAAATCACTATGAACATTTGAAACCATAAAAAACAGACATAAACACAGTTCCCTCTAGTTTAGTAAAATATAAGGCCCGGCAGTGAGATTCAAAATTACTCAGAGTGGCTGAGAAGGGAAAGATTTTCAGCAAAAGTACAAATTTAAAATAGTTGATGCTGGGCGCCTGGGTGGCTCAGATGGTTGAGCGTCTGCCTTCGGCTTGGGTCATGATCCCAGGGTCCTGGGATTGAGTCCCGCATCAGGCTCTCTGCTCCTTGGGAGCCTGCTTCTCCCTCTGCCTCTCTCTCTCTCTGTCTC